CAGGGTGTCCCAAAAAAACCCCCCCCCTCGGCATTTGGCCGTCTTCTATCCCATCGGGACCAAATTTTTACCAGCGATGGGGACCCATAAAAACTATGTGCAGTCGAATTTTCTAAGCAAAATAGGATAAAACAAAAAAGTTATCGCTAAAAAACTGCTTTTTGGGAAACGCTAGTACCGATTTTTGACTATGTTTTCGCAATTAGCATGCCGATTTTGAGTAATTTTCCCAAAAATCGTCATTTTCGGGTCCGTTTCTGTTCGTTTTGATAAGAAAAATTGATGAAAAGTCCCGATTTTGACGTAATTTTCGTAAATCAAAAAATTCCTCCGGGTGGAAAAAAGTGTCCTCTTCATTTTTGCTAAACATTTCGAGGCCCTAATCCATCAAAATCCTAGTGAAATCGGCAAAATAAACCTTAATTTCAATATAACTTTTTTGCCTTACAATATTTTGCTTAGAAAATTCGGCTGCACATAGTTTTTATGGGTCCCCATCACCGGTAAAAATTTGGTCCTGATCGGATGGAAGACGGCCAAATGCCGAGGGGGTTTTTTTTCGGGACACCCTGTAGAGGTGATAATCAGACATTTCTATACGCACTACTTTTTTGGGTAAAGGTATCTTAATGGGGGATATCGGGGGTAGAAACCAATGTAGCGCCATGTGGTCTGATCGTGCTTATTCGAGCTAGCATCGAAACTTACACTAAGGAATTTTGCATCGTCCCTTAATTTCATCGCTACTTTTTGATACGGAGAGTTTTATTAATTAAAAATCTTATAACTTAAATCTGTAGAATTCATTTTGTTATTAGAATGTTTACGCTTTATTCGATGGCATTTTCAAATCACAGGACAATTTTACAAGATTCCACCTTGTGATATGGCTTCCCCCGTTAAGCGACCTTATCCGTTTTTGGGCGCCGTTCTACATAATTCTATACGCGAAGCTTCGTTTTCTATAGACTATTATCCTTTCATTCCGCTCTTCAACCCATTCTACATGCTTTCAATAATTCTAGATGCGATGGCACAAGAGTATGAGTGGACACGTCCGACGACGAACCTCTCAAGCGATGAATACCCGTGCTATGCAGCTCCCATTTTCCACAATCGCGTAAGTTTCCAGTCCCTTTAAACCTTTGCTGTTAGATTCAAAACGACCGCTCAGAAGGTCACGAATACAAGACACCACGAGAAGCCGTTGTCTCTGCACATTCCCCTGTACGATTGAGGGTACTGTATTAGTGTCTCACTAAATTTTTGCTTTCTTCAGGCGACTGATCTAAACCAGAATGTTCCTCGCGACTCCTCCAATCGCCCACCCAGCACTCTGTATCTACCGTATAAGAAAAAGAAAAAACGGTGAGCGTAAATGCACAAAAAGTTTGAGTTTGAGCTCCAACAGCTCCTACAGCCCCGAAAACCCACCCAAATGAGGTCGAGTTCAGACCCCACATTTCTTTTCAAAGTAACCATTTTCGGAGAAGACGAGCCGTAGGAGATGGGGGATGAGGAGAATTGGGGGCCCCTCCCCTTCCTCCTAATTACCGCATCCCTCCAGAAGAGGAGAAGCTGGAGGGAAAAGCCCCCCTCCCCCCCAACCACCCTTTTCTAAGGCACCTTGCTCAATTAGATGAAGACGATGGGGGATCTCCAGAAGAGGGGAGTCTGGGTGGTGGAGAAGGGGGGCACTCGGTTCATCCGGTCTTACCAACGGCGTCTTCTTTATCCAGCTTGTTCTTACTCTCACGACCACCTCCGCATACACACACACGCAGCAGCCTGCCCCATATGCAAATTGGGGGGCCGTCGTCGATTCTGGGTCGTCTTCGTCCCGGAAGCTTTTCTCGTATTCCACTTCCCGAGAATTTACGGCGGGTGGCTGAAATTCGGTTTTGGGGTGATGGCGAAAGAATTTAGGTTGTAGTTTGGGGTAGACTAGCAGAGAGTATTGGGGGAATTTGTTGCAGAGGAAATTGCGGAATTTGGCTAGGGCACGCTAGCAGACAGCCCTGGGGAAATTTGAGCTAGGGCTGGCTAGCAGAAAACATTGGAGGAATTTTAGGCTGAGCAGCTAGCAGGGAGGAATTGGTGGAATTTGAATCAGGGCAGGCTAACAGTGAGCATTTTGGAATTTGAGCTTGGGCCAGCTAGCAAGGGGCATTGGGAGAATTTGCGCCAGGGCAGGCACTTTCTCTACCCAAAGTGTATAAAAAAATAGCTAGAATTGCTGAACAAATGTTTCGGTATCGAATGTAAAGCGCTAGGCTAAATTTTGACGTAACCACATCCCCGAAAAACTCAACCTCCCACCAAAATGTCATAAATCGCGCCCCGGGTGGCGCGGTATCAGGGTCCCAGATCAAAGCCCGTTTTTACCCGTTGTCCACGAGACTCCAAAGGGTCTCCCACCACCCGGGCCGACGACGATGGCAACAAGTGTTCATTCCATTGCATCCCACTCAATCACCCATCCCATTCCCTTTTGGCTTTTTATCCAATCCCCCCTATCCAATCTCTATACCTCGAGGCGCTGGCCCAATTGGTTGTCCGGGGGGCTACAATGATCCTTTCTATAATCGTTTGTTCTCTCGGTTGGGCCCAGCCAGACAACGTTGGCGGCAAGCCAGATCCCCTTTATCCAGCTTTTCTTCGATACTCTTGAAAAAAACCTTACAAATGCTGCAAACACCACTATTTTATTTTAAGCCCTACATCCGCTATCTACACAATTTTCGAAAGGTCAACTTAAATTGGGCCCAATTAATTTCTAATAAAAGCACCGCTCGTGCACACCCCGGCCGCCTAAAGCTCCCTATTTGTGAACCACTATTTACCCAAACGTGCACACTCGCTGCGCAACGGATAGGTCCGCTAGAGTCATATGCAAATTACTCCATCCATGAGGTTTTCCGTACGGATTTAGGGTTTGTTATAAGGGTTATAATAAAACATTAGTGTCTGTGGAACTCTGAATAAGTTTTTGCGGCCAAAACTCCTTAATTAATCGTATTTTTCTTATTTTAAGGCTAGAAAAAAGCCCATTGAACTACTGTTCCACTTTCCAGTAAAAAAACGCGTAGCCCATAGCGGAAACCGCTGGCTATTAGCCAAAAACCGAGCCATTTACCGTTTGGAGGAGGTGCTTGAGGCTCGTGTGCGGCCTGTCAAGTCTGCGCGCATTTAGCGCTGGAACTCGAATTTCACGCGCCAACCCCCCGGCCCCAGCGATAAGACTGTGAATAAGCTGTAGTCGCTAAACATTCTGCCATTCTGGGACTAGCGCGCCTTGGAGTGTATTTTGTGGATGTTCGAGGTCTGGTGTTCCTTTGGGCCGCAGCCGAGTTGTCAGACGAAAAAGCCGGTGAAACGGTTAGTTTTGATCAAAATTTTGGTACGGTTTTCTGCTACCCTCGATAAACCATCGCTATAGCATTATTTTAAGCTGTGATTAAAATCGTTAGTATATTTATCGATGCTCTATCGAATGATGTTGCGAAAATCCCGAAAAAATATCGAAATATCGATGAACTTGGATTTTTTGGGCTAGGGCTCAAGTACAGCCATGGCAATTTATTTTATAAATTAGTGGTAATTTACCTAGGGATTATTTTGCCATCCACTTTCGGCCAATTTTAAATTTTACGTTGTTTAGCGCCTCTTAATTTCAACCAATGTTCAACGCCTGCTAAATGCTCTCCACTCCCATTTGTTTAATTAGGCCCATGCCCCGGGGGTGGCAACATGGTGATCCCCTAAATCTTGGCCCACTTCACGGCGTCTCGTGTCGTAAATTTCGATGGAATTGCCCCCATCGCAGCTTCCTCCCCCCCCCCTCCTTGCACGTCGAACATAAACAATAATATACAACCCATCGCCCGCCCATGCGATTTGTTCGTTTTTAACGTATATGGAGACAACAGTATTTTATTAAATTGATGGGGCTACCCTTAGCTAAGGTATTTACAGGGTGCGGAAAAAGTTTTGGGTGGCATCTTTTTATTTCGAAAAATTGCGGTTCTAAGATTGTTCGGTTCTAAGATTTTGTGGTGTCAACCTAGATTCGGACGTGCTCTATCCCATCCTGACAACCATAATGGTTTAAAAATTATTTCCCGCATAAAAATCGTCTTAGAAACATGAAGGCTCCTGGAAAGGTACACATTTGGCTGCTATGAAATATTGGTTATAATGCTTTGGATCTTATCACCCGCTTTCCAGAGTTTTGGATTATGAAAGACAGGGAATAAGCAGTATCTTGCATAAATCTTACATTTTTTGGTCATCTTGGCTAAATCCTGGGCGCAATTGAGTTGAAAATCAGCAGCGTGCCGCGGTTTCCGGCTATTTAACTTTTCGTGAAGCTCAACCTGGAGTTGTCTTAATGTCTATTCCCCAAATTTGGACGTCAAAAATCCTGATTTACAATATTCATATGCCTAACCTATTATTAATGCGGCGCTTCGCGGTTTATGGGCTGTAGGCTCCCCAGCTTCGCAGCGGTTTCCCATGCCGATAGGGCAATTTCTCAGACTTAAGAACGTCAGAACTCTTTGCATTTAAATCCAAATACTTTTTAATTTTGTGGGGTGATAGGGTATTGGATTGGCAATATCTTGAGCAAATTTCGTCAAATTTGATCGAGAATGTTGCCCAGGGCATACGGTAAAAGCAGCAATAGCGCTTCGTGCCGAAGGTGATTTTAGCGCGACGCTTTCAGTGCATTTGCTCCCAAAAATTTCAAAAATTTGTTGATCTGTTGGTGCCTAGTGTTTCTCAAGTTGCCATTTTTTATTCTCCCGTTCAAAAAATCCATGTTGGACGACGCAATTTGTGAAAACATAGCTAATTCTGCCGCCCAAAACTTTCTCCGCACCCTGTATTTTACATCGTTAGTGTGAATTACCGTATGTAAACAAAAAGGGTTTACGACAACGAGCGTCCTTCATTTATAGATGGGCCTTGTAAGCTTTCGCAGGCATGCGAATTTTTTCCGTATCTTTTTTAAAAACCAAAGTAAGGCATAAAACGTCCTTTTGCAAAAAATCTGACAACAGTTCCTTGATCTACACCTTCGAATGCCCCTAAAAACCTACTTCTGGACCTTGAAAACCTTTTCCCATCGCTATATGACTGGAACCAGGGGTTTATTTGCAAAGTGTATACAGGCACACATAAGCACTAGATTTTTACTTATGCAGTTACACACTTCCCTAATTAACACCCTGCCCTTATTCCTCCTCAAACATAAGCGCTGACCCTCGACACCCGATTGGAATCTTCAGAATCGGACATGGGGCGCCCGACGGATCGACAGATCCAATCGGACAGCCACTCACCCATAATAAGCCCATTTCGGTTCAGTTAGACCGGGCTTTTTGGCTGGATTATGATCTGCTTTCTGGTGTAGTTCTTGGCTTCAATTGATGTTTCAGAAATTTGGCTTACAGTATTTTTTTCACCCACCGAAAATCGCCTAGAATCGGCTATGCTATTGTCCTCGTCAAAATTTTTCCTGATCTAACGTTGTAAGGCTCTGAATTTCGATACATTTTCCTCCAATAAAACCCTGTCCTCCTCGAGCTCGTCGCCTCGTTGCAGTTTCTCCTCCAAGTGCCCACCCGATGCCTATATATCTGGCTGGCAGGCCAGACTTGCTGTGAGACGGTCATGTGAACGGGATGAAGGAGCAGACACATCCCCATAAAAGGCACTGATTTAGCTGTGGCTCAAATGAAAGCTTAGGCGCAAGTCTAGGGGTGGGATCGAAAAACTCGGCTTTCTGTCCCCGAAGTAATTCAAGAAATTTTCAGGCGACTATGCGGTTCTCTTTCTCGTCTAGAAGTGTTTTTGCTGTTAACGTGTCTGTTGCTGCTCCTTTCCCTATCTGGTGTCCTCTTCATATGGTTGCTCTGGCTCCAAGGATATCGGATATTCAACGAAGGTGGCAGTTGCATGGCCTTGTTTTATTTATGAGCTTTCCAAAAAAAACTGGATCGGTTCGACATCTAGCCGGCTTTAAAAAAATTAATTTCAAGAAAAATAAGTTTAGACAAAATCTTTTCTTTAAGAAAAATTACAGTAATTCAACTTCCAAATCACCACCAACCCCGTACCCCCAATTCCAGGCCTTCCTTTGTACGCCCCAATCCGAAACGCCCTGGATCGAACGGCTAAAAATCACCAACAAGTCGTGTGCACGAGCCGGGAATGCGTCCGGATTGCCGGCTTTTTGGCCGAAAATTTAAATGACAAGGTTGCAAGGTCGCTCAAGTTTTATCTATTTTTTTAGATTGATCCATGCAGTGATTTCTACGAGTTTGCCTGTGGGAATTACGGCGTCAACCGGAATCTGGCTGCCAGCAAACCTTTACGGCATACAATAAGTGACGTACAGGGACGGTTGAATAAGCAAGTTCGGTCAATACTTGAGGTGGGAAGAGGGTTGTAATTTTTCAAAAAACGGCGGTTGAGGCTGACAACATCCCTACCGACAAGCCGTGGGATCGACTGGCAAAGGGGTATTATAAGAAATGTTTGGATGAAGGTAAGCTTAAGGGTTTAAGTTACTAACTGAGACAACAATTTTTAGACGAACTCGAAAAGTCTGGTATCAAGGCCGTGAAGGACGTGCTGGATTGGGTGGGTGGATGGCCGACGCTTGAAGGCAGCAGGTTTGGTCTCGGAATTTTTTTAGAATAATTTAAAGTCTACTTCCTAACAATTTTTACGAACCTTTTCAGATGGAAAGGCTGGAGCCGAACATGGGAGCGCCAGCTGGCCTTGATCATGAACAAGACGGGCGTGAATGCTGTACTCCTTGAACTTGCAGTCACCCACGATCCGGGAAATAGTAGTCGTTCTGTCATCGAGGTGGGTTCTTCTCTTAACCTTTGCTTCTTTCATCATGCTTGCCCAATTCTTGTGGGGTATAGAAGCGAGCTGTGCCAGTTTCGTCATTTGGTGTCGTTTGGAGGTTTTCTTAAGAAATTGATATATTTTTATTAGTGATGGTGATAGTAAAATTTCAGCTTGATCAGCCTAAATGGGGCGTAGGCTCTCGTTGGCCCTATTTGATGGGTGTCGAAGATCCGATGATCAAGAACTACACATCGTTGATGATCCAGACAGCCATTACTCTAGGTAATTAAACTTGTCGTAACCTATAAATCTTCTATTTTCAGGCGCCACACAGGAACAAGCCGAAAAAGACATGTACGAGGCCATGGAGCTGGAGATGAAACTCGTCAACTTCTCCGCAGAAGAACATGTACGCTGATGACTATATTCTCATTTTATGTTATTTAGGTGCGAAGAGATCCGGACCGCGGCAACAACCGCTATTTGATCAAGGACCTAAAACAGCATTTTCCTTATGTAAGGTTTCCTATTATTAATCTAAAACATTTACATTAGATTGATCTTGCCGGGTATATCGAAGAGGTTTTTGAAGGGCTGGTTGGGATCAACGAGAATGACACAATCATCATTCGTGAAGTCGATTATTTTAAGTCGATCCAGGTAGTCTTGATTTCCGGAATTCTGAATATTTTTTAGCACATTCTACGGGAAACTGACAAGCGCGTAATTGCCAACTACATCTCTTGGCGGATAGTTCAGGTAAAATAGGCTAATTTCGCATATATGGCTTCCTAGGGCTTTTCTCCTTTCCTTCCTCCTTCAGCTCGCGAGCCTTTCTATCAATTCAAGGCCAATCAGACCGGGATTTTCAACTCACCACCACCGGACAGGTACTGTAAACTTTCATTCACAAAAATTGTGCTGTGAAAGCCATATTTCATCATTCTAATTAAAAAAATGCAAATTCTAGGTGGGAAGACTGCGTGACCCTATCCGTTATCATGCTCGACATGCCAGTGGGCAAGCTGTTCATCGAAAACTTTTTCGAGCAGGAGAAAGCCCTAGCAAAGGTAGATCGCTCAGCTTCATAGCTTATACTTTATACGATTTTAGATGAGCGAGCTGACGCACTACTTGAAAAGTGAATTCATGAAGCAGCTTCGGGTGTTGGATTGGATGGATGAAGCGACAAGGAAGCGTGCAATCAATAAGGTGATACATATCAGCAAGGATTTCTATATAGTAAAAAATTAGCCGGCTACGCCCGCTAACCCCGAATAAAAACTACTAGCGTGTTTTTATAATTCCCACTACGTTCCAGGCCGAGCGCATCGAATACAAGAACGGTTTCCCTCCCTTCCTCTTCAACGATACGGCTATGCAAAAGCATTGGGGCATGGTAATTTTTCATTTTAAAATATGCTTGGGCTATCGGAAAGACCATTTTTATATGCTAAGAAGCTTATAATCTTGTTAGTAGCAACAAGGGTCAGCTAATTTTACAACAACAACAAAATATTTCTACAGACGATAGCGCTTTTGAAAA